TGCAGCGGCGGGCAGCGCAGTCACGAATCGCAGACACGCAGACAGAGAGAAAGAGAAAAGAGAGAGAGAGAAAGAGAGAAAGAGAGAGGAACAGAGCCGCAAAACCATAACAATTGTTTGAAGGGGGGAGATGGCCAGTCATAATGATCCGACAGCGGGGCGGAAATGCGGGCAGATAGAACCGCTGCACACGGCCCACGTCGCCTCGAGCGGCGGGTGCTCTTCCCTCCGCTCAGCCGTCCACGCGGGCCGCAGGTGCCCACCCCACAAGGAGAAGCGGAGTGAGGTGGCGAGGGCTCGGAGGGAAGCGAGACGGAGAAGGCGCACATTGAACAGGGAAGCGCCACTTTCATCCAGCGCAAGAGGAGCCCTGCGGCGAGGAAAGCAGGCAAAGGGGGATAGGGAGGGGAAGGGCGACAGCCGGTGCACCTCATTGGCTCGGCGCCTCCGGCGCGCCTGGGCGCGCGGGGCCCCCTTACCAAGCGGCCTCGTCGCCCGAAGCCTACAGCAGGAGCAGTGAGGTCATGCGCGGCGGCAAGGCGGCCGCCCACTTCGCGCACGGGCGCGCAGCCAGGGCGTCCCACCGCAGCGCTGCGCAGCCGCACTGCACGCAGGCGACCCAACCAGGACCCTGGGAGGCGGTGAGGGCCTGCCAGGGCCGCCCGCCGGAGAGAGGAAGCCCAGCGGCTGAGCGATCGAGCGCTGCGCGCTGGGCCGACGGCATGGGCGCGCGGGCGCCCCGCTCCGCCGGCATCCCCCAGGAAGCCGCCGGCCCCACTCGGGGCACTGGCGTGGGGGAGACGCGGCAGAGAGATGAAGGAAGGAACCTATGGGAGAGACAAGCAGTTCAACGCGAGGGCTGCCGCAATTCTGGACCATCAGTCTGGCGGCCCTGGGCTCGGCGCCGAGTGAACCTGCCGCGTGTGCAGCGCTGCGCGCCAGTCTGCCTCGCCCCCGCCTGTCCACACCGCGGGCGCAGCAGCAGCAGAGCTGCCGCCCTCGACGGCACGGCGAAGGCCCCGCCCGCGCACGGCGTCGTCGCCGCTCGTGCCCACGCGGGCGCCGACACCCCGCAGCGCAGGCAGGCGACCTTTCTGGGGCCTTGCGCGGCGGCGTGCGCTGGCCAAGCCTGCTCCGCGAACTGAACATTACAGCGCACAGGGCCTTCTGGCCGCCTCCACGCTCGGTGTCCGTCCGGGGCCCTGTGGCAGCCTCCACGCTCGCTGTCCGTGAGCGCTGGTGCTGCCAGCGGATGGCCCAGCGGTGGCGCACCCAGCTAAGCGACGAGCGCGCCCCGCCAGCCGCGGCGCCAGCGCTGGGGACTTCGGTTTCGAGGGTCCACGCCAGCGCTGATGTGATTTGCCTAGAGCGCTGCGAGCCCCATCTCTGCCTTCAGCCGCTGAACGAAGCCGAGGGTCAGGGTGTTGGTCCTGCGCGGCGAGGAGCGCGGGCCAGGGGGAGGGGCACGCTCTCGCTAATGCGCCCTCTAGCTTCGAGCCGGTCAGCCGCGGCGTTGCCGAGGTGTTCGGCGTCGTCCATGCCTGGCTCCCGCACGCCAACCTCGTCTAGATGCACTTCGATCCATCGCGCCGCGAGGAGCCCCACTCTCTGGCAGACGGGCGCTAACGATTCCCAAATGCCAGCGTGTGCTCACTCCGCCGGGGACGCCCCCGCCCAGAGTGCCGCGACCCAGTGTCGGTGATCACCTTCACCGGGCCGGCAGCGAGGCTCAGCGCAGGGAGGGCGGCTGCTCGGTCTGCCCAGCGCGCTGCTTGGGGCCCGCCTGGTGGTCTGCGGCTGTCCGGAAAACCGCTCTCGGGCAGCCTGTCTTGGCCAAGAGCTGGTCCGCCGGCAGCTCGCAGGCTCCTTCTGTGCACGCGACGCGCGGCGCCAGTGCGGCGACCGCTCTGGGTCGCGCGCCTCAGAACGCGAGCAGCGGTCTTGGCGGAAGGGGCGCGCGGTCGCCCTCGAACAGCGCGCGGGGGGCTGGGCCCTCGGGGGGAACTGCCGTACAAGCAGCTCCTGGCGGCAAGACCGAACTGAGGCCATGGAAGGCTGGAGTTAGGTCGTGTGTGTCCCCCTACAAGCGACTATTGGGCGAAACATGAAAACTAGTCCAAAAATGCTCCAAAATTGTCAGAAGTATTCAAGAAATCGTCTCCGGACTATGTTTTGACTGTTTTTGAAGACTCCCCCTGTAGAGGGACACGCCCGACTTAAGGCTGGAGCCGCGCCCTGGAGAGCCACCATGTGCACCTTCTGCAGAGGCACGTGCTGCTCTGCCTGCGGCGATGACGCGTCGGCTGGTCCTCAAGCGACGGGGCGCGACAGCTCAACTGCCACCAGCCCTTTGGGCCAGGGTGGTGCAACGGGTTCGTTCTTTCCTCGTCCAGAAACCGTCTTCCCTTCGAAAAGGGAACCCCCCCTCCCTCCCCTCCATGACGTATTCTTGAGCGTCCAAGATGGCCTCGATGATTTTGTTTCGTCAAAATGCACTGCTCGGCGGCCAACCAGCGTCTACCCCTCGCTTGAGCATAGTGCGCACAGTGCAAGAGCATAGAGCATAGCATCTGGGACAGTGGGGTGTCGGTTCCTGTTGACCCTTCTCTGCCGCGCGCGCCCTGCACTATCATGTATGTACTAAGGTGTTGTGCCCTTGTTGGCCTCCCAGGGGGGGGGGGGGGGGGCAAACGTTAGAAACCCTCCCATTTGATCGATGGCCTCCAAGATGGCCCCCAGAGGACTCCATGGCTCCCAAGGGACCCACAAGAGGGCTCCAAGAGGGTCCCAAGAGCGCCCCAAGACTCCCCGAAAGAGCCCCAAGAGGAGCCCACGATTCCCCAAAAGAGCCCCAAGAGGGTTCCAAGAGGCGATTGTGAGGGCTCTCCCAAAGTCCTCGTGGTCCTCCTCCTCATCCTCCTCGTCTTCGTCCTCGTCCTCGTCCTCGTCCTCATCGTCGTCCCTTTCTTTTTCCTCCTCTGCTTCGTCGTCGTGGTCGTCTTCGTCGTCGTCTCTTTCCTCCTCCTCCTCCGCCTCCTCCTCCTCCTCCTCCGCCTCCTACTCCTCCTCCCCCTCCGTCCCTCGCCCCCACGCGGGCCCCAGGGATGGCCCGAAGAGGCCCTCCAATGCGACTCACCTGCTCCCAGAGATCTCCCTGGTCACCCTGGTTGCCCGCTTGGTTCACTTCATGTGTCGCTTCTCATGGGAAGGTTTCTGCATGGACTGGTGGGGATAGGCGAAGCGTGAAACATTGCAATAGCGCTGAAGCCAAAACCGTGTCCTCCCGAGCTAGGGGCAGACCCAGGAGAGCCGTGCAAGAGAAGACAGTAGAATGAAGACCATGCAGAATGCCTTGCCCATGCGACGCCTTCACAGACCGAGGCAGGAGAGTCAGCGAGAGGCAGAAGACGGCCGAGAGCCCCTCTGGGGGAAAATACACACACAAACAAACAGCCAACCAACCAACCAATCAAGCAAACACACACACACACACACACACACACACACACACACGCGCGCGCGCGCGCACGCACGCACGCACGCACGCACGCACGCACGCAAGCACACGTTCGCACACACGCAGCATGTCCAGGCATGTCGCGGCATGTGAATCCAGCTTCCCAGTACCATGGCAGTCCTCCCCCTCCTTTTGCCCCAAGTGGGGTGCGAGGGAACAGGGGGAGGGGGAGGTGGATTGGTGGACGCAACGGTGGTCACTTGTGACCGTCCAGTCGTACTTCTTGTATTCGCCCTCCTTGAGCAGCTCCCTCCAAGCGCCCAACGCGCCTTCGGGCAAAACTACGCGGGGTCGTCAATGTCACCATGGCCCTGCCATCTCCGCAACATTCGAACCTATCAGCCGTAATCTGGGAATCCAGAAAAACAAACCTGGTGCCATCCTAGAATAACCGAAAACATCCAGGCTATCCGATGCCATCCGAGGGTATTCGAAGCGAACAATGCCATCCGAGGCTATCCGAGGCTGACCTGGGCTGCCTGTACGCCCGCAAATGAAGGAATTGTGCATCAAAAACCATCGTGAAACATTCATCCGTGAAAAAACAATCGGACCTGTCGACGCAGTCCAGCGACCCCTCTGGGCGTAGCTGGTTCAGCGAGCCCTGGGAGAGCTTCCCCTTCCCCCGGCCCCTTCCTCTGGGTCTTAGAAGAAAGCCCGCAAAGTGTCAGAAGTTGTGTTGGCCCAAGATACTCCAAGAGGGCTTCAGGCAGCCCAAGATGGCCTCCAACATTGACCAATGCTGCCCAAAATGGCTCGAGATGACTTCGAGCATGCCCCCAAGGAACCACAAGACAGCCACAAGACGGCTCCAGGCTGCCACGGAGCGTCCTAAAGATTACCCAAACATGCTGCAACCCTCGACCAAACAAAGAACAGTACATGATGCCGGCGTTCTCGCCAGCTCGCTTCCGACAGGCTGCTGGAACCTCACGAAGGCTCCGGGTTCGCCCAAGAGATCCCCAAGAGGGGCCCCGGGGAACTCCAAGACGGCCCAAAGACGGCCGCACGAGCGCCCCATGGGCAGGGTTCCAGGAGACAACCTTGCGGGCTCCCACGTCGCGAGGCTCTCCCGTGCCTCGACGGACCAGCGCCTAGCGCGTCAGCGTCCTTGTCGCTGCCTCTTGTCCCAAATGGCTTCTGGCGCTCGGTTGCACCGTTCGTCATCGCGCGCGCTCCAGCCCCCGAACAAACTTCGGTCGGTCTGGAGCATGACGCCTAAGCCACGCTCCGATGACAAAGGTCGGTTCCTCCCCCTCCTCCCCCTCATCCCCCTCCTACCCCTCCTCCTCCTCCTCCTCCTCCTTCTCCTCCTCCTCCTTCTCCTCCTACTCCTCCTCCCCATGCTCTTCCTGAACCTCTTGATCCACCTCCTCCTTCGAAAAGGCTGCGAGCGCATGGGTGATTGGACGCTTCGTTCCTGGGCCTGCTCGGGCCGATCCGGAGGTTCCGTTCGACGGCTGCCCCCCTCCCTCGACTCCCC